GTTATTTTCCTAATGTTTAAAGAGACTGTTTTGCCCATGATGTGGGACACATCACCTGGAGGTCAATCCCCACTAAAAGAATAGCACTTGGGAGAGAGGGCTTTCCTTTTCATGTTTGGTGTGTGTGTGTGTGTGTGTGTGTGTGTGAGAGAGAGAGAGAGAGAGAGAGAGAGAGAGAGAGAGATGGGGAATGTGAATTGGTGGAGATTCTATCGTGTTTTTTCTTCTCATTTGTTCTAGCATTTGCCAATCCTGACACTAAGGAAATCCTTTCTAAAGTCTATTCTAAATTTCTTTAGCTGACATTAAACCCATCTCTTTAGTGGAAGTATTATCTAAAGTCCTGGATCTGGTTGAACGTCTTTTGTAAAAGATGTGTGTCTGTGGGGGAGGAGGAGGGGAAAGGGTGGAACTTGGAGAAGAAATGTAATGATCCAGCTCCTGGCTTTAATTATGTGTAAGCCCTGAACATTCTGAACTTTATTAACCTCCTAAGTGTCCGCGGGAATGGGATGGACCTGGTGAGTTTTGCTCCCTGATCCTAGCTGCAGGGCTTCCCTGGAGGGCTCATTCTCCACTCTCCCTCCCTATCTCAGCCTTTGGCTGCACACCCTTCCTCCTGGCTACAGGTGGCGCTATAAATCAGCTCTCCCAGAAAGGAGACTCACCTACCTACCCAGTCCAAGTATCTCACTGGCTCTCTTTATCTCTCCTAAGATCCTCTAGTTCCTTCTCTCCAAATCCAATGGGCTCTCCCCAGCACCACTTTTTTGATAATCTGCTTAGCTGTTTTGGAGAGAGGGGCTCTTCCAGCAGGGAGCCCCCTCTCCTCTTAAGCTTCTTACTAATTGCAAACAGAGAAAGTCTGGTCTGTGAAGGTCGCCTGCCCCCAGTTCCCCAGCTTGGTGGAGGGAGCCAGGAGCTGGGGGATTTAAAGTGCAATTTCCTGTACCTTTTTCATTTCCTGCTGGGGGTTGTGGAGAGCAATAAGCAAGGTGGGTGGCAAGGGCCAGAGGACTGCAGGTGGGGGATGGGCTGGGGAGGCTTCCCTCCATACACTCCTTTGCCATCTGCCTTTTCCTAGGTCTCAAGATGAGTTCCTTGGGGATGGGGCACTTGATAAATGAGGACCTGGCAACCCTCCTCTTACCTCTCTGAGGTAGAGAGGAGCAGGAAACGATTCAGGTTCTACTATTAGAATAATAGATGAAGGAAAGGAGGGAAAATGTGTTGGATGCCCTCAGGTTTCAGATGAGGAAACCGAGGCCTTGGGGGGGGGGCATGTAACGTGCTCAAGGTCATATATCTAACGGTGGGCTGGTGTGGCTGGGGTTTACCTGACTCTTGTAACTCACTGTTTAGTGGTCTTTCCTTAGTCAGGGTGGGCTGTGGGTCAAAGGATGGGGTGGCAAGAGGTGGGATAAGGAGTAGGGGGATATGGGGAGGTACTGGACAGCTAGAACTCCAGGTCCTGAAATATTCCAGATTTGGTGGGTCTTGTGGAAGAGCACAGGGAAGTCCTAACTGAGGGAAGGCTTTTGTGAGTTGGCTCAGGAAACAGATGTGTGGGGGGGAAAGGAAGGGAGAGGGAGGCATTTTGGCTCTTGGAAACTACTAGCCCCATATCTCTTCTTACCCTCTCCACAGTCAGAGGTGGATGAGGTGGGGGAGGGGGCACGGCAGAGGACAAAGGAGCTAATTATTGAGTTAGTGGATTAATTGATTAATTGTCCAGAAGCTTCCACTGCTTCCCCAACAATGACATCCCCTCCCCCGAACCCAGTCAGGCATGGCCTCGGTTGGCTTGGATTATTAATTAGGGCTTGAAGTCATTTAACGATGATTTCATTATCGACGTGCTGTCTGTCTTGGGCTCAGCCCGGTTGCCAGGGCGACTCTGATCGATTGCCTCCGGTCTCCTTCGCTCGGCGGGCTCCTGCTCATCCAGAGCCAGGCTGTTGGCGAGCACTCCCTAGCGGTCCCGTCTGGTATTGCAGAGCTTCCCAGTTGCCCGCTTGAGTGACGGACACGGGGAACAGATCTAGAGCTGCCTTGGCAGTCTTTCAGCTTGCCTGGAGCCTCGATTACCCAATTGTGGTCTCTGCTCCAGATGTACCGACTGACCTAGCTGTTGCCAGGGACCCTGGGGATTGGGTCCTTCTTTTTCCAGGTGTGTGCAGTCCTCTCCTCTACTGGCCTTCCACCGTACCTCTTTAGCATGCCTGTAGGAAGAGACAGGCGACCTCAGTTGCTGCCCTGCAGCCTCTAATTTAGCTCTGGGAGGTCCAAATAAGCTGTGATAAAGTTCTTCCTGCTGCTAAGGAGAATTCTTGGGCTCTAGCCTTAATGGGACACCTGGCCTCTTAGACCTTGAATGTGGCTGACAGGGAAAGAGAGGGGATAAATTCTCTTTAGATTGCCTGATTTAATGCTCGTAGGGTCTTCCTTGGCCCTGAGAGGAGTTGTAGGAGCTGATCTTTGCAGAGCTCAGCTGATTCCTCAGCCTCAAGAGAGCCTGAAGGAAAAGGCAGGGTCCAGTTTGCCATGCCAAGTCTTAGGTCTTCAGACACTCAGCTTGTTGCTCCATCACTGGTCCCTTACAACCTGGATTCACACACATACACGGGTCTCGGGATGGCTATTCTATGCCTCAGTTTCTCCTTTTGTGGATTTCATGTATATCTTTTTGGGGCCTCTTAATGGAGAGTTGCCTGAAGACATTGGTCATGACTTCTCAGATAGTGTATGAATTGTTGACCCCAAAGTGATGACAGTCACTAGTGTCTTGTTTTGCTTCTACTTTGCATGCTGCTTATTGCGGTCTCAAATGCAGACATCAGACATCTCCCCAGTCCTTACCTCTCCTTACTCTTCCCACTGATCCCTAACCACAGTCTGTCCCCTAACCACAGTCTGTCCCCAACACCCTCCCCTGAACTTGTGTCCTTTGCCAGCCTGCCTCTATTTCTTTCCCCTCTGTCTCATGTCTCCTTGCACTGGTTGTGCCAGGCTGCATTAGCTCTGAAAAATTTAGGGCTGGGCTTCAGGCCTCTCTTGATTGTCCCATTTCGGAGAGAGGGAGGCAGGTTGAGTTGTCACATCCACGTAGTGGTCTCTGAGATCCCCCCAGGTTGGCACTGGGAGAGAGCCTGGGGGCAGCTATGGCAGCAGCTTCACCCTATCAGCTTTCTGGGCACATCCGCCACCGAGCAGCACCTGAGAGGGGAACCGGCTCAGCAGCGAGCCGAGTGAGATTGAAGAGGATCATAAAGAAAATATATATCCCCCTCCCTGGCCTCACTCCCTCCCCTGCTCTACACTTGCCTCCTTCTCTCTCTTTGTCTCCCTCCCTCCCCCTCTTCACTGCATCCCTGTTTTCTTTGTTTCTTCTTTGCCTCTGTCACCTTCATTTCTGTCAGGCAGGTCTGTCTGTCTGTCAGTCTGTCTGTCTCTCTGACTCCAAATGTGTTTTGGTCTGAGTTTTCCTAGGTCTATGTCTGCCATCGGCCCTTTTCTCTCCCTCTCTCCCTCTTTCTGCCCTCCCTCAGTCTCAAAGGGTCCTACCACATCTTTATGAGTCTCCCCATCCATGTCCCCTCCTGTCTATCTCCTTTGGCTGCCTCCCCCATCACGGTGTCCATCTCTTGCCCTCCCTTCCCTCTCTCTTTTTTGCTTCCCTTATCTCTGTCTCTCTCAGCCTCTTCCCTTGTTTCTGGCTCACACTCTTGCCTGCCTCTTTTCCTCCCTCCTCCCACCCCTCAAGGTTCAGATACTTCTTGTGAAATCACCTGGATGGGCTCCAACTGTCAGGTACCCCATTCTGTGCCCCCTTCTCTGGAGAGATTTACAGCCCCAGCTCTGCATCCTCTGCATTCCCCCAGCCCTGGGCCAGTTCTTTTCCTTACCCGATGATTATCTGGGGGCCCTGGCATTCCCCCCCCCCCAGCTTCCCACCTTCTATGCATCAGGCAGTGAACAGCACAGGGAAAGCAGGGAAGGGATTGCTCCTGGGACCAGATGCAAGGACATGGAGACCCTCCCCCTGTGCCCGCCCTTCTTTCCCTGAAGCAGATGCACATCTGGGAAAATCCCAGCTTGAGGCAGGGGAAGACAGCTTAGGACTGTTGGAACAGACATAAATCAAACACACAGATGCCCCTCCCCTGCTGTTCTGTCATTACAGCCATCCTTCCAATTCCTGCCTGTCTCCTTTGCCTCTGGGAGTTTTGGCTCTATAGTCTTGACTGGGGCCACTCATCAACTACCTAGCATAGTGCCCAGTACAAAGGGGGTGCTCAATTAATGCCCTTGGTCCGTGTCTAATAGAGAAGTGTTAGGGCAGGGCCAATGTGATTTTAGGTTTCCCTCAGGTGACAATTCTTTCTGTTGTAATTTCAATACTCTTAGTATACTTGCTATAGATCCTGCCTCTTCAGGGTCTCACCTGTACCCTTCTCCCCTCTCTCATCTCCACCCCAGTCTTTCCTGCACCTTATTAGGGTTTAGAGGATTAGCAGCACTGTCAAGTAAGGCCATGCCTCCCCTTTCCCTTGAGACCGATCAATGGCTTCTTGAGCAGATCACTTGTCTGTCCATTCAGCCCTCAGTCTCTAAGTAGGCCTGACCTTCTTCACCCCTGACTGTTCAGCCTCACCTGTTTGAAGATTAACATTCAGGGAAGTAGGAGATACCTTCCTTTGGTCACCTGTTTCAGGGTGAAGGAAGGCCTACTTATTGAATGGCTCCATTCTAGAGAGCAGGATACTCTCTAGGCAGGGGCCGTATCTTTTTTGTCTTTATTCCTCCACCACGATGCTCCATGAGTATTCAGTTGACATATGCTATGGATGCTGAAGTCTGTCTTAGGAAATCCCCATAGTGAAGCCTAAACCAGTTCTCTTTTAGTTTTATCTCTGGGAATATGGGAAACTTGGGTGAATGGGCAGGGATTGGTTGTTGGTGGTGTTAGAGGAACCTAATAGGAGCATTTTTTTTTCTAGAGACAGTGTCTCACTATGTTGCCCGTGCTGGAGCGCAGTGGCTATTCTCGGGTGTGATCTTAGTGCACTGCAGCCTCAAACTCCTGGGCTCAAGCAATCCTTCTGCCTCAGCCGCCCAAGTAGCTGGGACAACAGGTGCGTCCACCATGCCTGGCTAGTGGGAGTATTTTGAGAGTGGTCAGGGGACCGAGTGTTCCTATACTTATTTAAAGGGCTCCCGAGTGGGGGTTCTTTATCTGGATCTGGAACTGAACCCCATATTGCAATAGGTATGGCCCCAACCCCTTCCCAGACTCTCCTTCAGCTAATCAGGACCTTCTCCCTACCCAAGACTGCCCTGGAACTCATGCTTACTTTAAAATCCACTTCCTGCTTCCCAGTCTCCACCCAAGCTCCACGTAAGCCCTTACTCCACCATCTCACTCAAACTGGGCCCCACCCCTTCTCCCATTGCCCACTTCCAGCTTTGCTCCTGGATTCTGGGCCATGCCACCTCCTTCACCCTTCTCCTTCCTTTCCCAAGGCCACTCTTTGAAAGCCCTTCCCCACCAGGCCTCCATGGGGCCCTGCCAGAAAAAGATCATGGATCAATGAGTTCTTGTGGTTATGGAGTTGGTAAAATAACTGAGCTAGAGCCAGAGAGGAAGAAGGCTGGGCCCAGAGTGGTGCTGGCAGTAGATCCCCAGAGGGGTTTGAGCAGAGAGTATTCCATGGTGGCAGGGCAGGACTCTGGATTGAAGAGTGCAGACCGGAGGCCTTGTGGGCTTGGGGAGGGCCGGTAGGTTTGCTGGGGCCAGAGTGATTTGGAGGCCTATGTTCCATTCTACTCTAAACCAGAAAACACTTCAGCAGAGCTGGTCCTAGAAAAATCTGAGCTAGGGCAGGTTATTCCTTAGCCCTTCTCCTCCAGTGTCCTTCCTCCCCTTTGTGTGCCCTCATGCCTGGCCTTTCCTTTCTTGCCTGGCACAGAGCTGCTTTATTCATCTTCGTCCTTCCCTCAGGGCCCAGCACATAGTGACGCTCAGACATGCTCTTTGGTTTTTTTTTTTTTTTAAGTTACTTTACTTGTTTATTTTATTCCCCCCCTCCTTTTTAAAATTTCAGCATATTATAGGAGTACAAATTTTAAGGTTTTGAATAATGCAGACATGTTCTTTGAATGAATGAAGATTTTCTTACCTGGACCTTCTGCCTCCTTCATGTTTGTCACTCTTTGTCACTTCAGACTCTGAAACCATCTGCAGCTCATCTTCCCAGGGAGGGCACTGATGTGGACTATGCAGAATATCCGCTCCGGTGTGGTACACGGTAACAAGAGAGGACTGTGAGGGTCTTCTTCCTAAGTACTCAAGTAGCTGGATATGTGTTTTTGCAGCTGCTGAAGGTGGTCTTCCTGCCATATGTAATTCTTAAAAGCAGTGGTGGGGGTTATAGGCTAGGTAAGGCTGTAGGAGGGAAGATTACCAAGTTCCATCGCAGTGTGGTTGTCTAGTGGTCTTTAAAACACAGCATGAAGCCTTGCCTCAGGTCCCAAGCACATTGCAAATGAGCCAGTGGTAAATAAACCTTGAAACCTGATGGCTCTGTTCTCTCTGTTGGAATCTATCAATTTTGTGTGCATGATAGGCATATTTATTGATTGATAAAGGCTTGAAGGAGAAGCTGGAAATAGGACTGGCTTCCTTGGTCTCCAAGAGGCAGTTTGCTGCTACCACAAAACATGTTTAAAGCTCTTTAATTTCTTAGGCCCTTGGAGTCTTAAATTGCTCTCCACTCTAAACACATGTATGTTTTGGGCAGTGCGCCAACACCGGAAGCCCGGACAACACCTATCCATGCATGACAACTGTGTTATTGACTATGTACGGCAAATGTTTGATTCTATGTTCTTTCTCTTGCCTTTCAGAAGCTCTTGGGGAAACTTCTCTCTGTTATCAGTTAACATGTGATATGTGCCTGTAAAAGGCAGACCCATTTCAACCTTGGTTTAAGTAAAATCATGTGGAAAGCCCAATTTCCTTTAAGAAGTTATTCCAAGCTAATAAAAATGATTTTTCAATTATATTCTTTTGGTTTATCTTTGTCACTCTTTTTCTTTTATTATTACAAAAATCATTAGGTAGACTAGGAAATAGAAAGAACCAGATAATGAGGATAAGGAATTGCCCTAAAAAGCATGGTGCCAGGGGCTCCTTGTTGCAGATTATGATGCATGAGCTAGGGGTCAGGCAGGTGGGTCTTGGTTGGAGAAATCATATTGATCTATATTTGTATAAGAATGTAGTAGGACTTTACTTGACTCAAATGATCTGGTGGTTTTCCTATATGAAAAAATAAATTAACTTTCTAAGGGAGACGTGGGGGCATGGAGTAGCTACCTAGGGCTATGAGAGGAATCAAGCAATGTCTAGTGAGGGAGGATAGAGAGGAAGACAGCTCACCCCTTACATGGGAGGACAGAAGGATACATTTAACGAGATGAAGGAAGATAGCCAGAGAGATAGTTGGCATTTCCCAAGCCACCTTGTGTGCAGTGCATCATTGTGGGTGTTGGGAGGAGGTACCTGGGAGAAGGGGCCATGGCTCTGACCATTCACAACTGCCAGTCTAAAAGTAGAGGCAGATTATAGTGATAGATGGGACCAATGGATGGATTTCTACATTCTATGTTTACAAGAAAATGAAGGATTTGGGAAAAGAAACAGAATCAAGGCTGTTTGGCAAGGCTTCTTGGGAAAAATGAGTGTGGGTCAGGGCTCATTGTAGGCAAAGGCCATCTTATGTTACAGTCGTGGATTCGAAAGACAGGCAGATGGATTTTCTTCCACTATTTTCTCCTGAGCACTTTTCTGAGGTGTTCTGGATTGAATAGATGTTGGGTTGAGAAAAGGGAGTAGAGAATCATAGGGGGAAGAAAAGAGAGAAGAAACTGATTTTTACTGTTGACATCAATGTATTACATCACTTTTTATTTTTATTTTTTTTAAGCCAGTCAAATTTAGTAGTGGGGGGTTGCACATAACTTTTTAAATCTCTTTATCTTTTATACCCTTTCTGGCTTTTCCCCAGGTCTCTTTCTGATACTCATTTGGAAAATCTAATCCTTATTCATCCTGATAGCCCGTCTAGTTTCTGAAGAGTTCTAGAAGCTGTTCTGATTTGTCAAGTCAATAATCTTTTCTTGGTGTGATGGAAACGTTAAGAACTTCCAACATTGGATCCTGACTGAAACTAAACCTGTGAATGTGTCAAATCATGAATGAAGAGGATTTGCCTCTGTCTTCTCTGAAGTTATCCCAGAGAGACTTGGAGAAGCCACCTTGTTCACAACCATTCCAGAATAAAACTAGATGCCATGAAGTATGTAAAGCCTCTAGAGAAGCTCTGGCTGTCTGTCTGTTTACCCAAATAATGGCACAATGATACTAGTGTACTGTGTGTGTAGCAGGGGCTCCATAAATATGGACGGAAGGACGCAAAAATGTTTTGGTTTATATTTTAGATGGATTTTGGTCTACATCTGGGTAGATTTTGTCTACATCATTTTGGTGTACCTTTGGCTGCAGTGTTTTGGTCTACATGGGGATGGGTTTCCACCAGCTTGGAATTCAGCCCCTGCCAGCCTGGATTGGGATTTGAGAGGTGTAGTGCTGGGGGTGGTTGGGTGGGTGGGTGAGCTGGAGGGGGTGGCCATGTTTCCTCTTGAGCTAATGAGCAGACAGTTTGGAGGCTGCCGTAGCTTTCAAGTTCAAGACTTGGTTGCAGCTAGTAACATTTACTGCAGAATTACAATTTGTAGCCTCAGAGTGAGAACATAAAACAGTTTCTACCCTAAGGAGTTTTTATTTTAGATAGGGAGACAAAGTATTCTCCTAAGTAACATTCAAACAGAAGGCAGCACACAGTACGTTCATAGGTGAGGGGAACGTGGCTGGTGAGCAGTCACTTTGGTGGGGTCATTCTCAGAAGACTCCTGGGAGAAACGCTCGGATATTTATTTTCTTTAGTATGAGCTGAATTTGGTTACTTCAGCTTTCTTTCCAACCTTTCGGGAAAGCTATCTCAGCTTTACTTCTCTTTCCCCAGGGGAGATGTAACCCACTTATTACTACTGAAATGGTTTCTTTCTGACTCTTTTCCTTTTCTGCACACATCAAGACTGAGAATTATTATTATTATATTTTAGTGTCTCGATCTGGATTAGTATCTGCAGCAAATATTTAACTCAATCCGTATAGTTGGGCAACTGGATTTATTGGTTCAAAGTGTATGTGGAATTTGTTTTGTTTTCTTTTGCTTTTGGTGGGAGGCACAGAGGGAAGGAAGGCCTAAGTGAGGCTGGACTTATTGGATCATAGTCCAAGCTTCAAACCACCATGAATATGTAGCTTGAACTGATGTTTCCCAGGGAAACAAGCAAAATGCCCATATGGGGCAATTTTCCCTTCTTCCATGCAGCCTTCCCAAAGTACCCTGAGGTGCACAGAAGATAGTCCCTAATCTTGCCTACATTGGAAAATGAAGCCCTTCCTACTCATATCTTCTATCAACTATGATGTCATCTGGGATCTTGAAATGCCCTTGCCCCAGTTATAAATAAACATTACTATTTATTTCTGGTTTAGGATTACCCTTTCCAGGCCATGGTTTATAGATCTTTTACTTATCTTGAGGGATGGGGAAGTAGCCACAAAATGCCCTTAATTGTAAGCTCCCAAAGAAGGGAATCCTCTATTTGTCACCATTTGTTTTGCATTGTGTGCAAATGAGTGATTTGGTGGTCATAGTGGTGGTGGTAATGATTTAAGAGGGAAAAAGTGAATTCCTTTGTGAATTCCTTTGCAAAAAAATCATTTTGGTGCCTGAATTTTCTAATTTGGAGTTTGCCTTTGTATTCACTTACACTGAGTTGAAATCTGCTTTTTAATAGTTTGAATCCAGCCTTTATCATTTACAAACCCTTAGTGGTATTCACTTGACGGAAATACCAAACCGTACCATCCGATCCAATCACCAAAGGGATCATCCAGTTTCTCCCTTTAGACTCAACCCAAACTAAACAAAATCCATCTGTGAACTTATTTATAGACCGTACAGGACAAATGGTAGCAACTACAGAAAATCCTCTTCTCTGGGAACTTGCAGTGTGAGAGCAGTTCATGGACACTTCCCCAAGGCCCAGACACAGGCAGTGCAGCAAGGAGAGAAGTAGGAGCAAATGGACAGGGCTCTGGATGTTAATGAGGAGGGGAGGGGGCAAGGAGCACAGCCTGCAGAGCTCAGATATCTGTAGGTGTGGTTAGTTAGAGACGCTTCCTGAAGGAGGAGCGTGTTGACCAGAGTTTGGAAAAAAGGTGTTCTAGGCAGAAGGACAGTCTGTGTGAATAGCAAGATGTTCATGTGTAGGGAAAGATTTGTCCTGTTCAAGCAGAGAGCCACAGAAAGGCTTCATAGTAGGAGTAAGCGTTAGAAGAATAATGAAAAGAAAGCCTTGGAAATACAATCTTAGGAGTGTGGATTTAACAGAGAGCAGGAAACTGCAGGTCTGGTTGGGAGTGTGTGTGTGTGTGTGTGTGTTGCTTTTCAAGCCTTGAAGAAAGTGTCATTTTCCAGGAGGAGGGTAGAGGGCACTCACACTTCAGTTATCTGCTGCAATGCAGCACTCCGGACGAATGTGATTCAGGGCTGCAGCATACTTTAGAGAACGGCAGCACTCTCTGATGGTTGCTGGGGTGAATCCGAGATGATCGCATTGTGCAGAGTTACTGATTTTAGAGGCCAGGAGGGTGGGTCATGGAGTATAGTGGGAAGCTGGCTCGGGTGCACAGTATTTGCAAACTGTGGGAACCTACTAGATAGTGTTCTGGTGGAAACAAGGTGCCACATGTCTGAGTTACTTCATGCCAATTGGATTGAATTCAGGGCTAGCATAGTGAGCCCCAAATATCTGAAACCAGTGATTTCACATGGGATTCCTTAGGTTTAATCCAAATTTTTATGTAACGTCCCTGAATAAAACCAGGATCCTTAGGGGCTGTTTTGTCAATCTTGTTGTCTTTGGATGTATTTGGGGCTTTCTTCCTTAAAACTGAAATGGAAAGGTGATTCTTTATCTTTGTCAATCTTTCTATACTGATAGCATGTTCAGAATATCTATTATTCCTTGAGTCCATATTCCTTAATAATCTTTTTAAAAATAAGTAATGAGGAGATTAGAAAATAGAAAGCCTAAGAGGTCAGTGTTCATGCCTGATGTCCATTGGTCTTTGTGCTTATTTCCATGAATGATTAATAAATACTAAGAATGTTCTAGTTGTGAGCTAAGAGCGGACCCAGACACGGGTCACAGCGAACACTAATAATCATTTTTGGTATTCTGTTAAGTCAGGTCTCTGGTTGTCAAGAACAACCAAACCAGAATGACTGACCTCCCATAGCTCAAGTCCTTCTCCCAGCACCAACATGAATTTTTAGCTTTGGAATGGTGTCGATCATGTTTTAGAGTGACAGGCAAGCCGACACTTTTCTGGTACTGGGTTCTTCCAAGTTAAAGATAAGGAGATTGCCATTTTCTGGTAAACATATCCCCTAGTCTGCTCCTGATTGTCAGTGAAGTCTGGGGAGCAAATGGCCAAGTGAATTAGAAAGCTTAAAAGATGTTTTGTTAAACCAACCTCATTAAACTGGCACCGTCTGCCTTCCTACTCGCCTTTGTTCCAGTTGGGGCTTTCTTCGTGACAGATGTTTCCTAACCGTGTGTGCCGGTAGCATCTGGAAGCCTTGGGTGACTGCTGAGGTTTGGGAAGGCCAAATCTGGAGGTATTTAGGTTGTCAGGGAAATTACAACCATTTTCCTGCCATTGGGCTACCCATTTAAAAAAAATACCTTTTGCCCCATCTTCCTTTGGCTAACGAAAATCAAGGTTTCATTTCTTTCTCTAGCACTTCCTAACCTGCACTGAGGATGGTTTTTTCTTTTCAAGAATAAGGTAGTGAGTAGACAAGATTTGGAATATGATGAAAGAATAGTGTGATGAAAGAAGTCTCAGAAGGGTTATTTATATTTGACACATTGAGATCTGTTATCTTATATTTCTAAAAACCAAACAAAAGGACATGGGTTAAAATTGTGGGAGTAGGAATTATAATTAGATGTAAAATTGTGTCTGGGAACTATTGGAATAGCTACAGGGATGCTTTGGGCTCTCCTTTCTTGGCATCTAGAAAGATTGGAGACTTTGGCACTGGATTGGATTAGAATTTTAGTAGGAAATGGTTTAGATGGAGCTTTCAGATTTAATAGTCTCTCTACTTCCAGCCCTGGCCTATCAGAATCTATTTGGGAGGAAAGAGGAGACATTGGTAGGGGGTGACCTGGGCACAAGGGTAAGAACTGGCTCAAATCCTCTTAATAGCTATGCCTTAGACTCCTCAGTCTTTGTGGAGACAGTGTGCTACAGTAGAAAGAACATGGGCTTTGAAGTCACAAAGAACCAAGTTCAAATTTCAACTCTTTTTTTTTTTACTGGCTATATGATCTTGAAAAAGTAACTTAACCTCTCTTAATCTGCAAAATGGAATAATAATAGTTATCTTATTGGGTATACAGGGGTTAAATGAAATAATGTATGTATATTGCTTGCAGCTCAACAAATTCTAGTTCCCTTCTGCCACTCTCTCTTGTGTATCCCTAATTCTCACACATATACGTGGTACCCCTATTTGACAGATATTTTTCTCTGCATGTCTTCCTCAATGCTTCTTAGTGTTCAAGCCTAGGGCCCTGATTTATTAATTTGTGTTAGTCCCACAAAATGGCAATAACAGTATGTACTTTTTATAACCATACTAACATGAGCCAAGGTTGTGGTTTCTTTCCAGGCATTTTTACTTGCTAACAATTTTGGTTGTAAATCAAAGACAAAGCAGTTCTATCTTTCCATCCACCCTTCTGATCTAAAGCTCCCGATTCTGGGTGGGATTTCATTCCAATCAACAGGCGATGCCAAGCTTGTTTATAAAGATCATTCAGGGAAGAAAAAAATCCAAAAATCCGTAACTTTTACTGGGACATTCTTGTTTTCCTCCCAATCTTTTAGTTTGAAAAATATTAGACCTACAGAAAAGTTGCAAGAATAGTGTAATTAACACTCATTTATCTTTCACCAGGATTGACCAATTGCCAATATATATATTTTTAAATTTCAGATTATTATGGTAGTACAAACATTTTGGTTACATATCTTGCTTTTGTACAGTCTGAGTCAATGTTATAAGTGTGCCCATCACCCAGATAGTTTGCACTGTACCCATTAGGTGTGAGTTTACCCAACCTCTCTTCCTCTCTCCCACCTGCTCAATTTCCATTAAGTTTTACTTCTGTATCGATTGCTAATATTTTGCCACATTTGCCTGTGTTTTTGCATACTCTCCCTCGTATATAATTATATGTATGTATACATATACATATATAGAACAAGTCCATATTAAAATTTTGCTAATTATCCAGTAATATTTTTTGTAGTGAAATGTGTCTTCCTAGTCCAAGCCCAATCCAAGGTTACCCATTGCGTTTTGTTGTCATGTCTCTTTATTCTCCTTTAATCTGGAATAGTTCCTTATTCTGTTGTTCACGACAATCATAGTTTTGAAGAGTACAGGTCAGTTGTTTTGCAGAAAGTCATTCAGCCTGAGTTTAACTGATTGTTTTCATCATTAGATTCAGGTTATGCATTTTTGGCATTTTTTTATTTTATAAGAACCTTCTTAAAGACAGTGCTTCATAGGCAGGGGACATGTCTTTTCCCTCCCTGTTGTGTTCCAAGCACTAAGTGCAGTGACTGGCACATAGTAGGTGATTAATATTTATTGAATGCATGAGTGAATGATGTAAAATGTTCACTGCCATTTAGGTTCATTATTTTTCTACCTGAGGAGATGGAGAAGAGTAGCCTTTTTCTATATGCTAGTCTCATTTTTATTATAAGTCTTTGGGCTCAAAAGGGTAATCCAAGACTTCTTCAATGAGACCACAGAGCAGGGAACATGGAGTAGGGACTATGACGTGCGGGAAGCTGTGAGGGGTGGTGGTGTTCATGCGTGTAGTGACAGGAGGGTGAAGAAGGTGGTCCTCAGATGGAAAGACACAGCACATGGAGCCTGAGAGTACATGGCCTGTTTTCATGCTGAGAGTAATTAGTTATTTAGGTTTCCAGATTTTGCCATGCTTCTCTCCACTAACCCCCATTTGAATCCTAAGAATGCCGTAGTGAAAATTGATTTCTGTTCCTCCTCCTTCCCCAGAGGGGACAACTCCATAATTCTCTCCTTCTCCACCCTCCACCCCCCCATCCCCACTACACACAAGTGTGTATTTTCTAACATTTATAAACGGTGGTTGGGCAGCCATTCTCTCCAGATTATTTATTGTTGAGAAAATCTATAACTCCTTGGACTTCTCATTTTGATGTAGAAGCTTTCATCCCTGTCGCCTGGGGGAAGTGAGGTTATGAGAGGTACTCTCTGCCTCTCAAAAATGTGTTTTCAGGCTTCCCTTTGGGGCCCTTTCTCTCCCTAGCTCTGATCATCTCAGACATTTCTGACAATCCTTCGTGAGGCGTCCGGGGCTTGGGACTGGATTCATCTATTTAATTTTGCAAGGCTTGGAGTGGCTGATTCACACAGCCCCTGCCCCTTTTCTTAGAGTCTACCTACCCCTGTTTTGTAATCCTTAATTTCACATTTCTGGAAAAAAGTGCCCTCCATCTCCATATCAGCTCTTGGTTATCCACACAAATGGAGGAGATAATCCAAAATAGTGAATGATACAAAGACTACTTTTGTTTGATTTTTAAGTGATTGACTCTTGGCTAAACATAATCCATAAAGTGAACAACTTTGATGAAAGTAATCTGTCATGTTAATCTCCTGTGGGTGGATATGTAGCATCTCTTTTTTGGTACCCAGAAAGGGAGGCAGGGGGAAGGATGTTTTAGCTTGTTTAGCTCTCATTTTGTTGTCAGAACCACAAGACATGTGTTGGGAACTCTGCAGAACCCATCTCTGTGCTGAGTTTTCAAGCTCTGGAGGAGGCCTATTCCTTAGTTTGAGAGCCAGGTATATAGTTCAAAGAGCATGAAAATCAGTAGCCAACATATGAAACTATCACTTTATCTAGGGTTTCCATGACATGCAGAGTAAAAGCGGAAGTCCTCATGGTGGCCCTAAGGCCCTACATGGGTGATCTGGCCTCTCAGTTTCTCTCTGACCTCATCCCTAGTTTCTGGACACCCCAGCCCAAGATGGCCAAGCACCACTTCACACCCATTAGGATGGCTGTTATCAAAAAATCAGAAAATAGCTGGTGTTGGCAAGAATGTGGAGAAATTGGAACACTTGTGTGCTGCTGGTGGGAACATAACATGGTGTAGCCATTGCAGAAAACAGTACGATGATTTCTTAAACAATTGAACATAGAATTACCATGTGTTTTGCCAATTCCAATTCTGGTGAAAGCGGGGTCTCAACAAGATATTTGCATACCCATGTTCATGGTAATGTTATTCACAATAGCCAAAAGGTGAAAGCAACCCAGATGTCTGTCGATGAATGAATGGATAAACAAAATATGGCATATACATATGGTAGAATGTTATTCATCCTTAAAAAGGAAATATATTCTGAGACATGCTACAAGATGGCTGACCCTTGAAGACATTATGCAAAATGAAATAAGTCAGACAAAGAGAGATAAATATTATATGATTCTACTTACATGACATACCTAGAGCAGTCGGATTCACAGAGATGGAAAGTACAATGGTGGTTTCTGAGGGCTGGGTGGGGGCAGGGAGAGAGAATGGGAATTTAGTATTTAATGGGTCTAGAATTTTAGTTGGGAAAGATGAAAAAGTTATGGAGATGGATAGTGATTATGGTTGAACAACAATGTGAATGTACTTAATGCCACATTTAGGAACAGTTAAAATGGTAAATTTTATGTTATGTATATTTTACCACAATAAAAAATGCATTAAAAATAGCTGGAGTCTTCTCAGAGACTTGCATCATTGCTCGTCCCTTCCCTGCCCCTGACTGTTGGTGATGCGTCCTCTTCCCAGTGAAGCCTTCTTGGACCACATATTTTAAAACTGTGGCTGCCACCCCAAATGTACCCTAACCTTTTCTTGCTCTCCTTTTCTCTGTAGCATGAAACACAATCTAACACAATATATATTCTTATTATTTGTTTATGGTCTGCTTTCTCCTGCTGGAATGTAAGTGATGTGAGTGGAGGGATTTTTTGCATTTTTTCATTGCCGTATCCCCAGTGCTGAATAGTTGGGACCAGCAAATATTTGTTGAATGAACAAATGAATGACCGTGCCTAGACACAGACTTCCAGAGAGGGCACACAAAGAAGGAGAAAAATGAGAAGATTCCATTTTTCACTTGGCTTTGTTAACTAATTTCTTCTAGACTTTGGATATATAACTCAGATCCATTTTTCATGATGACTTTTGTGCTATTTGCCTTTTCTTATGTGTTTTGAACTATTCCCTATTGGGAAGTGTTGGTGTACTAAGTATACCATGGTTGTTATTGTTAAAAGCTCTCACCTTGAACTCGAAGGCTCTATTCTTATATTTCTGACTGCCTCTTCCATAGTTGCAAAGGGGCTTGAGTCAAGACTTTGGCAACTCTGGGAAAGCTCAGATATCCAGAAAACTTTATGCTTGTTTGTTTGGGAAGCACTGGTTTGATTGGCTCCAGGGTTCTCATTCTCTGAAAATTTTGTGGAGCAAATTTATATAATCTAGGATCAGGAAAGGGGCTGTATTTGCACGCAAAGGGATCGATGTAATCTCTGGAGATGTTGCGTTTAAAGTCCACTTCTTGGAAACTTTGAGACCTGAAAATAATTATTTAACAGCCCCATTAAGCTTTTTCTCTCAAGTCCTTATCCAAGTTCTAGTAGAGCAACTTTTATCCAAACTGTACAAACTTCCTGATTGGCAGGATTGTTAACACCCAGCCAAGAGAACCAATGGAACTTACTTCCTTGGAAAAATGTTTTGAAAAGGAAAGGTCCAGCATGAGGGCAGTGCCCTTCTTAGAGACAGAAGCATGAACACGATGACCTCCAGCACAAAGGAGAGTGGGTTGGGTTGGCTGGGAAAACAAGACAGCCTGCAATTTAGTGGGTGGATTGTTGGATTTGACATAGTTCTACTTGGCTACTTGGGAAGGAACTTTTGTTTTGGAGTTTGGAAGGAGCTCAGAGCCTGAGAGAAACTCAGGGAGGAGGAGGGAGGGAAGGAGGGAGCCGGGGGCATTATGGAATTCATACAAGTTGGCTTCATGTTCTCTGGCCTTTCTCTGTATTTCTTGAAGCACCTCCTCTGCACCAGGCACCTCCTTTGGGAGAGACTGTTTCCTAATTAAACTGAGGTTCACAGACCCAGGGCACTCATTAGGAAATGTCCCCAGGAAATGCTCTTTCAATAGAAGATTGTGCATGTTCTAGTCTCCCGTTCCCACCTCTGTCTGGCCCTTTCTTTAAAAAAAAAAAAAAATTGTACTTCTAGGAATCCTAAGATAAAGTAGTCAATCAATACATCTATGTGTTTATTTTCTCTGTCCTAAGTGTCTCTTCTGGTTTGCTTGGTACAGTTATGAGCAGATTCTTGTCCTGGGTAGCAGTTATGAGCAGATTCTTGTCCTGGGTAGCAAACGTTGGTGGTGGGAATGTGGAGTTCAGAAGGAGGAGGGACATAGATCCTGGCTTTGCCCTCTGAAAACTTTTATACTGTAAAGGAATTTAAGGGACACACCCAGGACAACACCAGACAGAAAGGGAAGACTAGTTTCCGCTGAGTGTCAAGGCCAGCTATAAATACTGGTAGGATGGGGAAGAAGGCTGGACATGGGGCAGTCGGTGAGGATGGCTTAGGAAAGGCTTCTAACAGTGGGGGGAAAGGTTGTAAAATAGGGTTGAGAAGAGCTAGAGGGTGAAGACTGATCAGAAACAGAGAGGAGGGCGCCCCAGCAGGGCCAGTGACTGAGGCCAAAGGCTTGTGAGGAGCGGAGTTAGGAGCTGAGAATGAGGGAGGGGCTCTGACAGCAGTGTTGAAGAATCCGGACTGAATAGAAACCACTGGAATAATTGCACATAGTTAGTTGCACGGGAAAGGTGTTTCTGAGAACTGCATTCGAGGAAGAGGTTTCCCTTTA